ACTTCAGCTGTGGTCAGCCATATGGGAGTCCAGTGAAGTAACCACTATGCTACTTGCTGGCCCAACCCCCCATCATTTCTAATGGCCATTGAATAGTACATTTAGATGCACTAAGGCAATATAGTATAGTATGACTACTCTATAGATAAGAGCAAATATCAATTGGTCTCAAACAAGTCTGTGAAATACTTTCTGATAGGTCATTAAAAGGTATTCTGTGAAGAAAGTAACATGTATTCAAATAAGTGTGGTAAACATCGAATTAAACTAAGTTACCCCATTATTTTATTGTAGGACATCTCAAGACTTTTAATTTTTTTTTTTCAAATTTTGCTACATGGCAAGTATGCTTGTAGGAGAGAGAGAGAGAGAGAGAGAGAGAGAGGGCACCTCCCCAGGGTTGTGACCATACCACAATCCCTTCTCCATTCTCCTCTCGATTTTGGGGCATGTGCACACACACATGACTAGTATGTTTTTCAAGTCACTGGGTCCAGAACTCAAAGCACTGAGTTGGCCATATGGGATTCAGCCATCTTAACCACCATGCCACTGGACTCGTGGGACTTTTAATAATGTGTATTTTATTATATTTGCCTTAACTGCCACTGGTTTAGTGTTCTATGTAATAGTTTGGGAAGTGCTGGCATAGATAATGTTAGCATAGGTAGTTTTAGTTATATCTAGTTTATAATTGAGAGTGTATTTTCTCTATTTCTCTCCAACTTATTCCCTCTCTCTTTGTCCCCAAATCTCTATGTTATCATCTCTTGTTTAGACCATGGAAATGAGCTATCTGCTGATAGTCTTACTCTCCTCCAACCCACGCTCCACATAGATACAAGAGTAATCTTTCTAAAATGTACAAGGGGTCTTCAAAAAGCTCATGAAAAAATGCATATACATGTATTTCAAACATTTTTAATACCAAAATAAACTGTACTTTAATTCCAATTTTCCATGAACTTTTTGAAGTTACTGGACATGTCGCAGCTCATCTTCCTAGAGCACATTTCTAGACTCCTTTTTACTCTAACCCCACACTTTCTCAACTCAGTGCCCAACTATTGAACATCTGGCATTTCTTGAGTACAGATGTGAAGGTTCAAGTGGAGGTGTCCAGGAACAGTTTCAGTGGCTAAGTCGCAAATTGTTTTTGGGTCAGAGAGGGCCAGAGTTGAATATTTATAGAATTAAAATCTATTTTTTTTCCTATAGGAAAAAATAGCTAAAGATAATATGGTTCCTTTGAAAAGTTCTTTTAAAAGATCAATAGTAAATCTGAAATTCTCTCAAATACATGTTTTCATAGCTCATGGGGGAGAAAGACAAACCCAGAAAATATTTTCACATCTATTTGATATATTCTCCAAAAGGCACCTGATCTTTAAAAATACTGAACTACTATTGATCATGATCTAATATAGGGTTCACCTGATTAACATGTAAAAGCTCTTCAGTGACCTAATGCTTAGTTTCATCAAAAATCAATTCTCCCTATTAAAGGCTGTTGGTCAGCTTAAGCTGAGTACTAACACAAAAATGGAAATTGAGGCAAATACAAAGTTAATATGCAAATGTATGTTTTGACAATGGGAATCCAGGGGCAAAAGCTATTATGGCTTGCTGTTTGCTTTGCTGCAAGACAATGTGTTGAACAGAAAAGTGTTTTGTCCCCAAACTGCTAAACTGAAGAGCTTCTGATCCTTAAGCTACAACTTAACCACAACCAAGCCTTCCCAGAAGATAATTTGAAATGAGAAAACATATTAGAAAACAAATAAGTGCAGTGTTAAAACACTACCCTGTCTGTGGTTGTGTGTTTGTTTTTGATTCTTAGTATTTCTAATTTCTCATGTGCCATATTTACTTTAACTCTTATGTCATTTCCTTTTTCATGATTTATTTATTTATTTATTTATTTTTTGGCAATCTGACATGCCTCTATCTGGAAAGGCTAGGACTCATTTCTCTTTTTAGCTCAAACAAATGGTGCCATTACCTCCTGCAAAAATATTCTTGCTGAGCATGTTAATAACATGCTCTCAGCTTTTACCCAGCGCCAATATAGGAAATAACTGTATGAGAATGTAACATCACCAGTTCTACCCTTTATGTCTTTCTCTATTACATAATTCACTCTGACATCAATAAAGGTGAGAAGACATAGCAATTGAAATGTATTCATTTCTCCTAAAGGACTTATGCAGTCGGTTACCAGTTAATGGGATGTATAACCAGTAATA